ATTCTCCTAGCAGAAGATAATACTCCAAACTTTCTCTGATATTTTTTAATTGAAAATCAAAATCCATTTCGGTGAAGTCTTCTTAAAATAAATTGATGAAGGTGAGTGTAATACCTAAAGACTGCCACACTGAGGCGTATGGTGCATTGTTTTGTGACTGGCTTTCAGATCACGACTACTTGTCTTCCTCCTAAGCAACAATAGTCAAGAAATTAAACTTGTCAAGCCCAGATGGAACTTGATTAGCAGGCATCTCCTTTTCTGTACGTATGGGTGGTGTGAATTGATTGCTCAAGAGTCCTACACATTAGAAGGAATGTGGTTCTTTATGGTTAGCATATGTTAGAATGATGGAAAATAGAAAGTCACATGGTCATCTTTTTTCTAGAAACTCCACCTAAACCATAAAAGAGAAATGATCTACGTCCTATTGCTTAAAGCTTTCAAGCAAGGAGGTCTCTCCGTCGTCCTATTCAGTAGTGAACAGTCATCACATTGTGATCATTCTCACTTTGTCTGACCAGATGGAGAATGGTTGCAATTCTTAGCGAGTTATAAAAATCACAAATATAGCATATGCAATACAATGACACCCTGTTTATTTGTCAGAGGAAGAACATGTTCTGGCAAGTCTTGGAAATTAAATCCACTCCAGAATAGAATACCAGAGAACAGCTTCCTTATTTAATATATTATTTGGAAATGAAGAACTTCAAAATGAGGTCAGGTTAATGGTCTCAAAATACATAAAACAAAATTTGACAGAATTATAAGAAAAAGTGACAAATCTAAAATAATGTGAGTTTTTTTAACACGACTCTTAGTGATTAAGACAGCAGATAGGCAGAATTTTTAGTAAGAATATAGATGATATAACAATGTAATTAATAAACTTAATCTAATAAACACATATAGAATCCATACCCAATAATTAGAGAATGCACATTCTTTTCAAGCACATTTGGAACATTTGCAGAAATTGACTATATACTAAGCCACAAAGCAAGGTTCAAGAAATACCAAAGAATCTATATCATGCAGACCATATTCTCTGACTGTAATGCAGTTGTTAAAAATTATTTATAAAAATATGACTTAAGAAAACTCAAATATTTTAAAATATAAAAATATTTATAAATATCTCATGGTTTAAAGAAATCAAGGAACATTTTCAACATAGTTGAATGGAAACAAAACTATTATATATCAAAACATATAGAATGTAGCTGATGTCGTACTGAAGGGGAATTTATAGTTTTAAATGTACATATTAGAAAAGAATAAGGTCTCCAAACTAATGAGCTAAGCTCTCAATTCAAGAAATTAGAAAAGGAAAAAGAGAGTCAACAAAAGAAAGAAACAATAAGGAGCAGAAATCAGGGAAACAGGAAGCAAAGATAGATCTTCCCTATTGTATCCTTTTTTAATATTTTATTAATGTCTGCTTTAGGCCTAGATGGTTTACTCACCAAATAATCATAAAGTTATATAACCCTAGTACCAAAACCAAACAAGGACAAAATAAGAAAGGAAATTATAGGCCTATCTCCCTCAAGAATATAGATATAAATATTAACAACCTGAATCCAGCCAATATAATAAGAATATATATCATAACCAAATGGGCTTATCCCAGGAATAAAAGGATGATTTAAAGATAGAAAATTACTTATTAAAATAGATCATAACAACTATATGATTATGCTAATACATGAAGAAAGATTACTTGCTAAAATTCAACATCCATTAATGACCAAAAAATAAACAACAACCTAGTATAAAACAGAATATCTTTAATATATCCAACCTTGATTTCAAAATTAATGTGACGGGAGAAGAGTCAAATATAACCAAGTCAATTTTGAAGTAGAACAACAGCGGGAGACACATCCTACCAGACTCCACAGATTCTGTATAAACCATGGTGTGGTTTTGATGAATGGATACAAACCAAAGTGCATTAGAGCAATTTGTGAAAACTTGACATTGGACGGAGATGGCGTGCTAACTCACTGGGGAAAAGACGAACCATCCAAATGAGTGCAGTGGTGCAACTGGTCTTCTACAATGGAAAAATAAATTAACTAATAAATCCCAACCTCACATCGTGTAAAACACCATTTCTAGGAGGTTTAAGGCTTACATTTGAAGAAAAAACTTTGAAACAACTTTTTGAATACAGTACAATATCTTTATAATCTTAAGGCAGAGATGAGTTCTTAAATAAAATTTATACATTTAATGATGATAAAATTAAAAATTTATGTTCAACAAGGACATGATAAAAATAGGAAACAATAAGCCCCAGAAAGGAAGACGTTTGTGATGCTTATAACCAAACAAAGGATTAACATCCAGAATATAAAAAGAGAGTTTAGTAGAAAAATGGGCAAAAATATGAGGAATTTACAGAATGACCTATTATATAAAAGCTGTTCAATATAATTTGTAATCAGAGAAATGTGACATAAAGCAAGAAAACAAAATTTCATACCCATTAAATTTTTTTTTAATTAAAAGCTTAATGATACCAAGCGTTGGTAAAGTTGTAGAGCGATGGGAACTCTCATTCACTGCAGATGAGAGATTTACTATTTAGAGAGAAAACGGCAACATTTAGTCAAGTGGAAGGCAAGTAAATCCACGACCCAGCAAATCCATTCCTAGATATACATCATAAAGAAACTCTCACACGTGTCTAGGAGAAATGTGCAAGAATGTTCATTGCAATATGGTAACAACGAAGTATTGGAAGCAACCTAACTGTCCATTGACAAAATAACTGATCGATATAGTATGCATTTATCAATAATGGAATACTATTTAGCAGTTAAAATTAATAAATCATCAACTTAATAAGTGTCAAAAATATAGTATTGGGAAGAAAAGCAGACTGAAGATTGACACATCATGATATCATTTGCATGAAATTTCAAAGCATACACAGTATATATTGTTCATGAATCCATATGTATGTAACAAAACGTAAAATCACGCATGAGAATGATAATGTCAAATTTAAGACAGTGATTACCTTGGTGGAGGAGAGGAAAATAGGATCAGGGATGATAAAAAGGGAGCTTTAGTTTTATCTATAGTGTCTCAATTTTTTTCTTTTAATATTTGATAAATGTGGCAAGATGTAGTTGGTGGGCACGTAGATGTAATATTCTTCTCTGTACTTTTTCTATTTGCTTAAAAAATATTGTAATTATTTTCAAGGGAGTTAGTAATATTCTTTGAAATACAAAAGTATGGAGGTCACTTGCATTGGAGGAGGAAAAGGCAGGATGAGATGAAAACGTTCCCATGCAGGTCTCTAGCGTAGTCTGGTACTTAGGTGCTAACATGATCTGTGCTTAGAAAAGATTAGACTTCCCCAGTTTGGACTGAGACAAATGAGCTACGGTCTCCAATGCTAGGCGGGGAGGGAGAGAAATTATTATGACTTTTTCCTACCCTTTCTTTCCTGCCTTGTTGCCTCAGGTCCCTTTCCTTCCATCTCTTCTCTCTTCCTCTCTAGACTGGCATGGAAAGCCACAGCTGCCTAACGTTAAGGAAGAATGTAGCTAACCCTATAGCTCTGTCTCAGCCATCCCCAGCAGGAGACTTCCTCCAAACTTTGGGGAACCTCCATTTATTAGAGGATAACAAAATTCTAGAATATGTATAATTGATCACATACCAGGGATTTTTCTCTAGTGTGAGGCATTAAATAGTTAATAGAAATTCAAGCATATATGGAAATTGTACTGAAACTATTTGGCCAACAATTTATTATTTAGTCTTAAATAAGGGAGAACAAGAGAGAATTGTATTAACATTTATCAATTTGTGTTAATTACATAGATATTTAAATTATATTTAATAAAATTGTATTTAACTCTTCTTATGTTCTTGGATATATCCTTGTATTTTCATTATTATATCTAATATAGTGATAGTTTCTAATAATAAATTATATTATTGGATTGCTCTCTATGAAGAGAATTCTTATCATGTAAATACAGAATACTGCTTATGATGAGTTCAGAAATCCTACTTAACTAGAGGTAAAAGAAGATTGAAATTTTAAGTATTAAATTTTCCAAGGTAGTACATACATCATTTAAGAATTCTTTTGAATTATGTTTTTAATACAGTAAAAATTCAAACAATCCAAATAGGTATAAAATGAAAGGTAATTCTCCTTTTTGTACATTGTCCCCCAGTCCCCCTCCCCAGAGGCAGCCATTGTTACAAATTTCTTATGTGTTTCTCTAAGGTACTTTACACATAGACAAACGTGCACCAGAAAGTACTTTTTTAAAAGTCCATTCCATAGGAATGGTGTTTCAAAATGTCTGTATTCTTGACTTAGCACATTCAATGATTTTCTATTTGAGGCCAAATCTATAGTGCAGAATCTTCAGACTTGGGGTCAGGCACAATGTAAGTAAAACTCAATCACAAAGCAAGATTTCAAAGGAGCCATAATAAAGAGGACAAAGATGTTATATTTCCCATTAGACTTTTTATAGAAAAGTCAGGAGAGAACAGAGTGTTCATGCAGTAAGTTCTAAGTCTTGAGTCTGGTACCAGTTAGACATAAACAATTAAGCAACACATATAACTAGACTGTATTATGATGTATCATGTAAGGATATCAAAATTCACATATTATTTTGTCCACAGTTGAATCTTAAAAAGAGCTAATCATACAAAAGTATATCTAAATTATTGCTTTCTTAATCAGCCTAAAATTTAGCCAGATCTGCAATTCTGCAAGAGGCTGCCCAATTAATGTTTTGCCACCTTTGCTAAAATGTTATCATTAATAAAGAGTTTGAGACAAAAGTCTCAATCAAGAATATGTGATGTCAAAGAGTATAGTTCATATTAGCTTGTAACTTTTTACCCAACGTGTTATTTCCCATGGATAGACAGAATCTTTCATATTTTTCTTTCTAAATCTGTATTTGAGATCAATTTGTAAAAAAAATGTCACCTTTGTCTTTTAGGCTCTTCTAACATATAGGAGTGACCCAACCATGAGAAAAATGTTAAATCATCTGTATTTCTATATCATGCCTGTGTTTAACGTTGATGGATACCATTTTAGCTGGACCAATGTAAGTCACTTTGCCTATCCAATTGAGAAGCCAGACTGAATAATTTGTAGCAAACAGAACAGGAAGGAAGCTTGGTGGTCAGCCAGCCAGTGATTCCAGGGCTATAAAAGAGAACTCTACTCCCTTCCCCATCACAGCAGCAACCTTTTGATTTTGTTTATGTATTTGGCTTTGCATAAGATTCTTGTAAATAAAGATTTCTCCTTCCAAATAAATCCAGAAAAATCATTCTCTAGTCCAGCTTGTTCAATTGTGACTGTGAGGAAATGAGGCCAATAGAAGGTAAGAGATAGCAAGTTTGTGGCAGAAATTGGAGTGTGAACCTGAGTCTCCACTGCCACTCCAATCCGTCTTTCCGCTCCCCGACTTGTCTCTTCCCAGAGGGAACTCTCCACTCAGTGTTGTGATTCATTCACTGATTGAGCTACGAAAATGCACATGAACAACCTTTGAAGTATTTTTTCTGCACCTATTTTCTTAATTACATCTAGGATCGATTTTGGAGAAAAACGAGGTCAAGGAACTCAAGGTTTCGCTGCCGTGGAGTTGATGCCAATCGTAACTGGAAAGTGAAATGGTGCGGTAAGTTGGGGACTAATTGGGATTCATATCCAAAGGTTTCCACAGCTTTCACTCTCAAAAATGATGAGCCCATTAGGACTCTAACGTAAGACTGATGTGAAAACCTAATAGAGAAAAACACAGATATGTACCTTGTAGCTGTAATTTGCAAAAGAAAATGAAAGGGTTGTTTAAAAATATGTAAATATCAAGGATTTAAATCTGTCAGCCCAATCCAGAAAATTGGAAATTTAAACACAGATGTAACGGCAGAAAACTAAGGAATATTTATCATGCAGAAACTAAAAAGGAGATCTGTGGTTTGTGGTATAAATCTGGCTGAATGTTTTTATCCTGTCACTGAGAGTAACACCGATCCTGCCTTCATCTGTCCATGATGATCAAAGCTGCCAAATCCTTGTCTACACCCTACCAGTCTGCCACTCATATATTCATCAGCCACATTCCATGTTTCATTGACACTTACCTTTCAACAAAGGAGAGGATGCAAAATAAAGAAGCAAGTACCCAAAAAGAGAGAGAGAGAAAATCGGCCATAGCTGGTGTAAAGGAGACAAAACTTTACTTCTACCCATCTTGGTCTCTTAAACAAAAAGACAGATTAACAAGAGAAAAACAGTTTATTAACATGGACGGCGCATATCACATGGGAGAAACCCAATGAAAAGTAACTCAAAGTGGCAACTTAGAACTCCTGCTTATGTAGCATCTGCAACAAAGAGCAATAAATTTGTAGAGAAATGACAGGACAAAGGAAAGCAATTTTAGGCTTCCAAGGGCTGCAAACTGTGAGAAGGTAAATATATGGGAGGAAACTAATGGAGTAAGGTTTGTTTGGAGTAAGATTCCTCTGGTGCTGTCTCATGGCTAAGAGTCTGTCTCCAGCAAAACAAGAATTTACATCCTGCCTTTAGGCAGTAAAGGGGTGTGGTGGGGGAAGTTTTCCTGCATTTGTTGTCGCCTAATTGCCTTCAGCTCAAAATAATTTTATGTCACATAGGCACATTTTGGGGTGATATGTTCCGGTTTCCTTCACTAATATCGTACTTGGCAACAAGAGGGAGGGAAAGAAGAAATATTTTCAAAATGCAGTTGTAAGAAGCTGCCCTTTTGCAGAGTCCTTCCTTAGCTCCCTCAAAATGTAGACTGTTGTGTAACAGAAAGTCTTCCACTAGTGCCTTAGAAATGATGCCTATCACAAAACCACTCATTTTGGGTTCTATATTAGATGCCGCTCCTCCCACCCCCACCAGCGTCAGACTGAATAACTGGGCACGGGCTTAGACTCCTTCCACGTATCCCTCCAGGCAACCTCCCTTAGTCAATTAGATTTAGCAAATAAGAATATGGTAGAGCATAAAGAATATGGCTCTATAATATGACAGATATGGTTTGATTCTACCACTATTAACTCAACAATTTGGGTGATTTTCTTTACTCTATCAAATTATAGTAATAATTCCCGACCTCATAGGGTTCTGATAGGAATTAAAGGAATTTGTGTATGGTTAATGCCTAACTCAGTCCTACCTCCAAACAGAAGTCTAAATATCAGTGACCTATCCCTTCTCCCCCACCCTCCAGAACAGTCAATTCACCTCTGAGCCGTAGGTCAATTGTTGGTAAAACAACAGGCATACCTTGGAGATATTGTGGGTTTGGTTCCAGACCACTGCCATAAAGCGAATATCGCAATAAAGTGAGCCACACGGATTTTTTCGTTTCCCAGTGTGTATAAAAGTTATGTTTACACAATACTGTAGTCTATTAAAAAACAATAGCATTATGTCTGAAAATATATAATGTACATACCTTAATTAAAAAATACTCTATTGCTAAAAAATGCTAACCATCATCTGAGCCTTCAGCGAGTCGTAATCTTTTTGCTGGTAGAGGGTCTTGCCTCGATGTTGAGGCTGCTGACTGACCAGGGTGGTGGTTGCTGAAGGTTGGGGTGACTGTAGCAATTTCTTAAAATAAGACAGCAATAAAGTTTGCCATATCAATCAACTCTTCCTTTCACAAATGATTTCTCTGTAGCATGCAATGCTATTTGATAGCATTTTACTCACAGTAGAACTTCTTTCAAAATTGGAGTCAATCCTCTTAAGACCTGCTGCTGCTTTATCAACTAAGTTTATGTCATATTCTAAATTCTTTGGTGTCATTTCAACAATCTTCACAGCATCTTCACCAGGAGTAGATTCCATCTCAAGAAACCACGTTCTTTGCTAATCCATAAGAAGCAACTCCTTATCCGTTAAAGTTTTATCATGAGATTGCAGCAATTCAGTCACATTTTCAAGAACCACTTCTAATTCTAGTTCTTTTGCTATTTCCACCGCATCTGCAGTTACTTCCTCCACTGAAGTCTTGAACCCCTCGAAGTTATCAAGAAAGTTGGAATCAACTTCTTCCAAACTCCTGTTAATGTTGATATTTTGACCTTTTCCCATGAATCATAAATGTTCTTAATGGCATCTGGATGATGAACCCTTTCCAGAAAGTTTTCAATTGACTCTGCCCAGATCCATCAGAGGACTCACTATCTATGGCAGCTTATAGCCTTACGAAAGGTATTTCTTAAATAATAAGATTAAAAGTTGGAATTACTCCTTGATCCATGAGTTTCAGAATGGATGTTGTGTAAGCAGGCAAGAAAACAACATTAATATCGTTGTACACCTTCATCAGAGCTCTTGGGTGACCAGGTGCACTGTCAATGAGCAGTCATATTTTGAAAGGAATCGTTTTTTCTGAGCAGTAGGTCTCAACAGTGGGCTTAAAATATTCAGTAAACCATGTTGTAAACAGGTGTTCTGTCTTCCAGGCTTTATTGCTCCATTTATAGAGCACAGGCAGAGTAGATTTAGCATCATTCTTAAGGGATGTAGGATTTCTGGAATGGTAAATGAGCATTGGCTTCAACCTAAAGTCACCAGCTACATTAGCCCCTAATAAGAGAGTCAGCCTGTCCTTTGAAGCTTTGAAGCCAGGCCTTGACTTCTCTTCTCTAGCTGTGAAAGTCCTAGATGGCATCTTCTTCCAATAGAAGGCTGTTTCATCTACAGTGAAAATCTGTTGTTTAGTGTAGCACCTTCATGAATGATCTCAGCTAGACTGTCTGGATAACTAGCTGCAGCTTCTACATCAGCCCTTGCTGCTTCACCTCGCACTTTGATGTCATGGAGATGGTTTCTTTCCTTAAACCTCATGAACCAACCTCTGGTAGCTTCAAACTTCTACAGCTTCCTCACTTCTCTCAGCCTTCACAGAATGAAGAGTTAGGACCTTGCTCTTTGGTTTAAGGGAATGTTGTGGCTGGTTTTATCTTCTATCCAGACCACTAAAACTTTCTCCATATCAGCAATAAGGCTGTTTCACTTTCTTATCATTCATGTGTTCACCAGTAGCACTTTTAATTTCCTTCAAGAACTTTTCCTTTGTATTCACAGCTTGACTAACTGCTTGGCGCAAGAGGCCTAGCTTTCAGCCTATCTCGGCTTTCGATACTCACTAAGCTTAATCATTTCTAGCTTTTGACTTAAAGTGAGGGACATGGGACTCTTCCTTTCACTTGAACACTTAGAGGCCATTGTAGGGTTATTAATTGGCCTAATTTCAATATTATTATGTTTCACGGACTAGGGAATTATTATGTTTCACGGACTAGGGAGGCCCGAGGAGAGGGAGAGAGACAGGGCAACAGCTGGTGGGTGGAGCAGTCAGAACACACACAACATTTATTGATTAAATTGCCATCATACATGGGCATGGTTTGTGGCACCCCAAAACAATTACAATAGGAACATCAAAAATCACCTATCACAGATTACTATAGCAAATATAGTAACAATGAAAACATTTGAAATATTGCAAGAATTACCAAACTGTGACACAGGGACACCAAGTAAGCAAATGCTATTGGAAAAATGGTGCTGATAGACTTGCTTGATGCAGGGTTGCCACAAACCTTCAATTTGTAAAAAATGCAATATCTGCAAAGCACAGTAAAATGACATTTGTCTGTACCACTTTCCTTCAGGAGAGTGTTGTGATGATGAGCCATAAGGTAAGCTTAAAAGTGTTTGCTCTTACAGGGAAAGAAAAAGCATTGCATAAATACTATAAAGTGGTATTGTTGGTGGCTGTTTAGACACAGACATTTTTTTCTTCCACCTGGACCGAGAAAACAAACTTCTTTTTTTATTTTGTGAGGAAGATCGGCCCTGAGCTAACATCTGCCAATCCTCCTCTTTTGGCTGAGGAAGACTGGCCGTGGGCTAACATCCATGCCTGTCTTCCTCCACTTTATATGGGACACCACCACAGCATGGCTTGCCAAGCGGTGCATCGCTGCGCACCGGGATCTGAACCGGCAAACTCCAGGCCGCTGCAGCGGAGTGCGCGCACTTAACCACTTGCGCCACCGGGCTGGCCCCAAAACAAACTTCTTTATATTAACTCCCTATGACCACTAATTTTTAAGTTCTCATCTTTCTCTCTCTCTGATGGAACTATTTTGCATGCTTATAACTGTGTGTCCATTTCACTAGCTGGCAGGTACCTGCATCCATACATATGTCATACACATGATGCCCACAGTCATCTGAGTGAGTACACTGAATGGGTAATTGAGCTGAGTAACACTAGCAGGCCAACCAGCTCTGCCTGTGTAAAGTTAGACTCTTGTTTATATCCAGTTACAAATAAGTGTCCTGCTTCCCTTTGTTCTGCTTCCTTTACCCAGCTTGTTTCCCTCACACATATGCCTTCTTTGATTTCTTTCTAGTTTCAACTGTGGTCCCAACTAGAATTCCTTTGATTCTTCCCATATTTAAATCACTCTGATTCTCCCTGTGAGTCAACACTCATGATGTACAAGGGATTATGTCAAATATCAGTTGCAAAATAACCTTGATAGACCATTGTAAGTGATGTGGAAACGCAGACTGGCTGACTGGGACCATTTCTCCCCTATCCCCAAGGTCTCCCAAGTA